CACACAGGTCAACCAGACTTCCTCATCCCCTGCACAATATGCAGTCTTCCTCCAACATGTCTTCACTTATGACAATACTAGGTCCTACATTTTATTTCTGAAAAGAAATATTGGGTATTTCCAATTGCCTAGATGATAGTGGGAAATAATCCAATGATTGCAGGGCAAGTTATTTTGTTCTACTGCCACCCAACCCCATAACTACAGTGAAGAGGATGCCCAGATGCTGCCCCCTCCATCATGGCACAATCCTCAAGGTATGGGAAATACCCTTTAAGAAAAGGATGTACATTCTTTCATGAGCTGACCTCACAAGTCAGCTCTGTAGATGAACAGGGTTTGCAGAAGTACTTAAATTACTTCATGGGACATTTAAGAATGAGACCAAGTGATCACTTACTCATGAATAAATCTCACTTAGGCAACAGAATTTATTCATGAATGAGGTTAAGATGGCAGCCATTATTTCTAAAGATATGTTGATGATCTTAATTTGAAGGTGCTGCAGCAGGAGGAGGCTGGGTCCTGCTGTTGGGCATCTTCCTGGCATACACTCACTGCATGATTACAAGGAATGACACTTTTTTTTTTTTTTTAGAGGAAAAACACCCAATTAGCAGAAGAGTCAGGTTACCAGCTTCTACAGACAGAGACTCTGCATGCATGACTGAGATCAAGCATAAAACTGCTGGGGAAATTAACACAAGCTATGAAGCTGGGGAATTAGCATCTTTCACTGGCAAAGCACATACTTGGCATCCCCAGGTAGGGCGGGGTGCAACTACTGTTTGATCCCCTTGGTGGTCAGGGGCTAAAGGTTCAGCACTCTCCAGAAATGTTGGAATCCAGGTCCCACAATGCCTGACCATTGGCTGTCAGTCAGGACTGATGGGATCTGTAGTCCATAGCCTTTAAAATTCCAGCTTTCTACCCCTGGTGTAACCAATACTGAGCTGAACAAATCAACAATCCTACAGTCTGATTTGATATAAGGCAGATTTCTATATCCCTATGGTTTTCAGTCAGCTTGTCAACACTGCTTCAGAGGCTTAAAATTCTAGCTGCATATCTGGTTGTGATACCAAAACAAGTATCTGTAAAAGCAGACTCCACTGAGCAATGAAAGGGGAGGCAAGACACCTGCTCAAGACTATCACTGGAATGCTTTTGCATTTGCTTCTGACTTATAAAATCACAAGGATTGGGGTGGAGTGGGGGAAATTTAGTTTTGGGATTGGTGGACTAAAATTAGGGCAAGTTTGTATTTACTCAAGTACTTTCAGGGACTATCTACACTAAATACATACATTTTAAAGCAGATGAATCAGAACTGGTGTTCCCCTACCCTTGCTCTGCCATTTCAACAACAGAAGAAAGCTTCTCTCAAAACTATGGCTGAAAGATAAGACTGCAGTTAAATGCCTCTTACAAGTTCCCTGGGCTTGTTGTCCACAGACTTAGGCAAATTTAAATTGGAAAAATAAATGTGCTTTCAATTTAGTAAGCCAAAATGCTTTGGTTTCCCAGATGTGCAGATCAGAAGTTGTATTAACAGAAATCTCACAAGCAGCTTTTTTTGTGCCTCAGTTTTTCCTACTAATACTATTATAATATTCATCCTAGGTATAAACATTTTAATTTTAAGTACTAGAAGATATCTTCAGATGATTTTTTTATTTTACTTGGTGAAAGTTAGCCTAGTCTGGGTTCTTTATTGAAAAGTGAATACTCAGATCAGAGGGCTGAAAAGTGGTAAGCTATTTTTGTGATGCATAAAAATGAACTTGTTACCCTTACACAACTCTCCAAGAAAGTGTCTAGATTCCAAGCTAACAAATATGGGTAAGAAGAACTAATCAACACTGCAGTGGTCTTCCAGGCCTCCCAAAAGGGCTTTTTAGAAGATAAAGGCAAATATCTTTTCTTCCCCCTTCTTTTGGGATACTGGAGTGAACAAGAGACAACAAACAGGATTTACATTTTCGAAAGTGTAAAATACAGAAAGCAAATTATGGAGTGTGATCTGGTTGAAGTTAAGCACATTTAAGTCTCATTGATTTTCACAGGAGTGAGTGAAGCATATACTTAATTCTCCAGAAAAATAAATTGGATTGACTTTGGTTGAATTTGCCGATTAGTTCTGAACTCATCGCAAGAACTGGTAAAGCGGTTCTTCACAGGGATAATTCCAATAAAAGTCTGCAATAATTCATCACTTAAATTTTCAATTGCCCTGATAAATTGAGCAGTTAATATATATATATAGATATATATGGACTCTGATAAAACTCCAGATGGCCAGCACCATCTTAAGAAGTATTCTTTCTTTTATCTCAAATAGGAAGAAATGCCCATCAACAAAAACAAATGAAGTACACTTCTTGCTTCATAACGTTTTTATCCATATCCAGATTTAATCAATGAACTAAAACTCCTACAACTAAGGTTACCTGAAGTGGGTGGCAGCCCTGTTTCGGTGGAGTGCTGCACTCAATGCATGCATACGTTGCTTCAGTGCATTCTACAATTAGAGACTCGGGGACTTGCAGTGCATTTCAGATCAAAGTTTAAAGGCTTCACCCACAGCTGGACTAAAATAACTAGACTTAAAGCAAGTCCCATTAAATAAAATAAAACTGGAACTCTAATCCTTAAACATTGCACTTGAAGCTCTGCTACAATTTGATCATATCCAATATACTCCAGGTTCCCCAGCTTGTGAATATGCCTTGTTAAAAATTACAAACACAGCTCAGTTCATGATAGAGGCAGAAATATTAAATGTGCAAGTACTGGTTTAATTTTCAGTTTATCTTAATTGGCTAGTGGATTGGAAATGAGGGATATTAGAGACCAGTTTCAACACACAATACTTAATTGAGCACCTACACTGAGTGATGTACTGAATTAAGAACGTATACTTTCTTATTTGAAGCATCTACACATGTACACTTTACTGTATGTATATGAAGTAAGGAACTGCAGTTAACTACAGTTCTGTAGCATATGCTGAATATTTCTACACAGGGGAAAGAAGATGTGTGCAACTGCTTCAAATGTGTCACTGACCACTGGACATCCTATTAGTCTATATCGTGCAAAAACTGAGGTTGCTACTGAAAACTGCAAGGACCTCGATTGAATTGGGAAACTGAGTTTCAATTATAAAGTTTACCCCTCTAAAATGGATAGATGGTTAGTCATGGACCCCAGCATCAAGGTACCTTAAAGCATATCTATCGTCCACCCAAATTAATGGAAATTACAACCATGTAATGTGGTTAAGATTGAAGTAGCAAGCATAATACATTTTATCCTGTTCTCTTCTAGCAGAAAATCCCTATGAAAGGCCAAAATGATGCATAGATATAAGCTGTTGCTACAAAGGGGAAACCATTTTCAAAATGCATGAAACTCTATAGCCATTGTCAAGTTAACAGAAATCTTTCCAAGCTGATAACATGCAGGGTGAAATTAATCTTCTTGCATTTAAGCATGAATTTTATGAGGTATTCCAAACAAAGAGATAAAACATTTTGAAATGTTATTTATAAAACATAGTGTAATGCACTTAATTTCTGCAAATGACTGGAAGTTGGTTGATTTCCCCACCCAAGACATGCTGTTTGTCTTCTAAGTCAAAAATGGCAAAACATCTTTAATTACCTGGAGAAAATAGTTTTCTTTAAAGTACTAAATTGAAATGTGCAAGGCTGTTCTTTACCTTCAGTCCCACCCATCTGGTCTAATGAAGAAATAGAAAGCCTCCTTTCCTCAGTGCATCAAATATTATTGACCCACCCCCAAACTCTTCACTATACTGGAGAAAATAGCATTTGCTTCTGAATATGGCATCACCTGTTCAATTACTGTTGCCTTGCTTAATCTATTCCCTTTGAGCTTCTTTAAAGAAGTACACCTGCAGAATTCCAAAACAAGTGGCTTTGATTTGAAAAGGAAAAGTGTCAGAATTGTGGATTTTCATCTCTGTACCTGATGAAATGTGTAGGGAGTTCTAGTCCTCTTTGAAGAAGCTCATAAGCCAAGCGGGCAAAGCTTTGGGAAACAGAAGAAAATAAAAAGGGTGCATACTCCTGAGAAGGAAATTACATACTCATCAAGACATTCTTGCTACTAATACTTTTTAAAAGTGTGAGTTAGACTGGCGACATCTTAACAAGAGAGACTGTCATTACTGAGTTAGGCAACATCCAGCACCTCACTCCTAGGCACACAGTTTTCGGTTCTAGAGCCTCAGGCACACACACCTGGGCTTTCCTATTCACTTCAGCAAGATGCCTTCATGCGGATCTGCCTTGGGACACTCTGACCTGTCCCCTTGAGCGAGACAGGTGCTTTCACTGCAATGTAAAGGAAATCCATGCAAGTGGGAGAGCCCCATGTCTACCTGGAGGACCTCTACCTACAGGGAATTATACTGTCATGACTGAGATGCAAATAGGCCATACTAATTTTAAACTTTTTTGATGTATTATTCTCTATGGAGAAGGAATACACATGAAAAAGTTACACAGGAATGCAAAATATATTCAGTTTTTAAAAAATATACCCAGCCGCAGGTGGGAGAATGTTGACTCTTCTCCTGGTCACAGCTTTTGCATACCCATGTAGCCTTTTTCATATGTATGTCTCTATGAAAAATAGATATTATGCTGCAAGTTAAGTCTGTAAGTTAGATCATAAGTTATGATCAGAGCTGTTTTGTCAATGGTTTAGATTCTGACTTAGTAGGACTGTTGGAATCCATGGGATTTAACTTATGATAGATCCCATTGACTTCAGTGGGTCAACCCAAAGTATGACTAAGTACAGATTCCATTCAGTATCTCAATGGATGTATGTAAGAACTCTAAACTCTCTTTAACTCATTCGCTTGCACGCACGCACATTATAGCCAATGAGAATTGTAAACTGCAGGCTTAATATTTTAGGATTAAATACGCAAAGCACCTCATTTTTAGTAAGCACTGGAAGTTTAGGCAAATTGTCTGCACTGACTGGGGGCACCAGGTAACTATGTAGCTAGTGTTTACAGACAGGTATAGTTGTAAGTTCTTCACAGCCTGAGCCTGTGTGGAGTACATGCAGTGGCTTATGTTTCTTCAAAATAACTTCCAACCTAGACAGCCCCAGTGAATAGACCTGCTTTTCCCCGCTCCACCACTGTTAATGGATCTCTAGGCCAGAGACTCTTGGTAAAGTTCAGGCCCAGCTAGTCTGATGACACAGAGAAGCAATGGCAAGGTGACACAGAAATTAAGGGACTGCAGTTAGACAGACGTGAAAGCAGGAGTCTTTGCCCTGATTAGGACACTCTAATATGAAATAAATTCATCCCTTAAAAGGTTTTGTAATTTCTACTGCAGATAGACATTTTAAAAAAACAACAATAATACAGAAACAGACTATGCATCTTGGCCAACATATTAACATTATGAAAATTATCCTTCCAATACGTTATTGATTGCATTATCAATTATTATGGTCATTTTTTCAACCTGCCCTTTCCCCAGTAATAATACTAATAATAAAAAGATTGTGGGAGGACAGAAGTGGAAATTCCTGGAAGTTGTCTTCAAAAGTTCTTTTGTAAAAGCCATTGAGCCACTGTTCCTGTTCCATTGTGCGCCTCTGACCTTATTCATCTTTTTATAAAATTATTTGTGGGTGTGACCTACCTAGTATAATTCTTCCAAAGCCCAATCCAATATTTTAAAGCTAAAATTAAAATGTTTTAAAAGATCTCTCTCTTTCTCTGCTTTTCCTTTATTTTTTTTCCTAATTTCATTAGCTTTTTTTTTTTCATTTTCTGTGCTTCTCTTCCTTGTCTCCAGATTTACTACCTGGTCCTTCCCCAGAAGTGTGCCTGTTAGCAGAGCTGTTGTTCAAGAACATCTTGTCCATGCCTTTGAGAGCTTCTGTCAGGTAGTTCTGGAGAGCAGTCAGGGCAGCGCATATGGCTGGGGACCCAAAGCCGTGGGTGATGAGGCTGAAGTGAGTCAAGCAGCTCTGAATCCCTGGTTCCAAGATGGGGCTGGGCCTGCTATTGCCAATGGGTGTCCGGTCCTGGGCCAAGAGATCTGTGAATTCTTTACAAAGTTGCCTGCAGAGGAGGAAGACAGAAAACAGATATCATGAGCCAAGACAGATCGGGAACAGACAACTTCATTATTAACACTTGTAAAAATAGCCTTCTCATGATCTACCAGTCAGAACGTAATTCACGGAATGTTTGGGGGAATTGCTTTGCTCTTTGTAGTCGGTTATTTTTAAAAACAGATCTGGGTTATGCTCTTCTTACAAGGAGCTCAGCATATGGAGAGTGTACTGTTCTGTTAAGAGGTTGTGACAAGGACAATGAGATTCATGGTAGACCAGGAATTGGAAAGAGTGTATATCATGACACCAGTACACTAAAACCACATTAACCCCCAGGGGAGCCAAGAAAAGCTATTGTTCACTGGCCTTTCCACCTGTAGGAGTGATGGGGCAATGGAAGACTTTTCATTAGACTGTGTTCTGGTTGATATATCCTGAAACGCTGTGTAATCATATTGTGCATGTCCCTGAAAAATTTGCATTTAAACATGTGCACTTTGAGTATTTCTGAGTACTTGAGGCCTAGCACTTAACCCACAGCTATGTCTGAGCACTTCAGGGCACCCACAGAACCTTTGCTTGAAGCCCCACATCCACGTTCACATAGGGGCACAACTCATGTGCACATCCCTTGCCGAAGAAGATATTCTGAATGGGTACAATGGAACTTCCATGCTGAAAAGAAATGGTTGCTCAGCTTGCTAAAGTCAGAAGGGGCCAAAATGTACTGAATCAAAAAGCAAGGAAGGGATAGATTAAATAAAAGTGCCATTGAACACAATAGGATTTACTTCTACATAGAATTGTGCTGCTAATCAAATAGTTCTTCCAGGGCAACATCTTTCACACTTCAGCCCCCTCCTCCTCCTCCTCCATCAGCCTGTCCAAGCCACAGTATTGTGAACTAGGCTCAAAAAAAACTGCCTGGCAGAAAAAGCATCCAAGAAAAGTCAGGTCATACTCTGAAACCAAGAAGTTCCATGTACATATAGAATTGGACTATGGAAAAATATGCACATGATAATATGCTTACTGAGAAAATAAGACCACATGAAAAATAGTGAGGGGAACAGAGCTGGAGTGCTTGAAGTTATACCTGTTATATTTCCCAGAATAAAGCTCTGCAGGCTCAAATCAATGGCATGCTTTTAGGGAGGAAGGTCACTAGAATTTGCATTTTATGGATTAGTAACATAGTCTTGCCCAGTGTTACCTAAAATGTCCATCACCAATTAGCAGTTGAAACCAGCAATGCAGCAAGTTATGCAACCAGGAAGCTTCCCAGCTCAAGAAAAAATAAGCAGCATGCTGGATCAGCCTAAAGGTCTACCTTGTCCCAGGCATTACATGCAACCATTCCCACAGCGGATTAGAACTCCTGCACTGCAACTAAATCAAGCAAAGATGTGAATGGTGCCTTCCAGTTCTCAGAGGATTCAGAGTAGACAGGAACCAATGTATGAGGTGACTGTGACAAACACTGCTGGCTAATTGGCTCCTAGAAAGCACTGGTGCTTGGGAGGACACAGAGGGACACAGCTCTTGGGCTTTTTTCAGTGCAGGAGTAATGACATGATCTGCTGTAGTAGAAGAGAACTGATAGCTCCCCCAAGCTCCAGCAAGTGAATATGGTAACCACAAGTTCTGAAATGGGATCATGTCGTTGAAAAATGATTTGCATTTGTAATTAAAAGCTAAATGTTGCATTTGGGATGGCTGATGTTCTTTTGTTAATCTCAAATGTGTTTTACAACTGGAACCTACACTGTGAGAAGTACAACTGAGTCAAATGGACGTTACTCCAAGTCCTGTGTAACTATACATAGGTTTGCAGTCCCACTCCATAAAATTAATTGTGAGATGTTATTAATGGCTTGTTGTGGATGTCTGTGTTTCATGATGATTATTTTTTAAACAAGAATGTTGGCTCTTTGAAGAATAAATAACAAAAAAGAACGCCATTTGGGAGCTTGACTATGGATTCTTCCTGTAGGTATGGCTATGGAAGCTGAAATGAAGAGCCGACTGCACTCCTGGGAAGGCGTAGACAAGCATTCTTTCCCTCAGGAAACCCAAAACACACACATAAGTGCAAACAGCCATTCTGCATCCTGAGCTGAAAAGGGGCAAGGAAGGTGTATTAGCAGCTGAAGGCAATTTGAAGGAGACCGACATAGCTTTTAGGAAGCAGAGAACTGGAATCCAAGGCTCCCTTTCCCTTCCTGTGGCATAACTTATCCAGTAATATGTCCAATGCACCAGTTCAGGTTGCCATGTCAGCAGAGGAAGCAAGTCTTAAGCAGGCCAACACTGTTTTAATTGCTGATCACTGTAGTCCTTAAACAGCAATATATAATACAATATATTACATGTTCATCATATACGATGGAAGCAATAGCTTTTTTATCCATGGAAGCTTATAACGATTACAAATTAGAGTGCTGTGCCATCCTGATCGGCAACAAATATATCTCAGGTTTGCAACAGACACACCTTCAACTTTGAGCCTATGGTCAAGGAAGTACAAGAGGAGGGCAAGGTTGCAAAAGCCTACCATTCAAAGAGCCAGTCTTAAGCACCTGTGCTGCCTCCGCATGGCTTGCCTTTTTGGCTATCTGCTGTGCTGACAGGAGGAAAATGGCAAACGGCACACACAGACTTTTAGAGCTCTCTCAGAGGTTTTCAGCACTGCAACCCTAGCTGCAAAATACAAAGAGCTTTTTACACCCTCAGGCAACTTTATAAAACACATCCACTACAATTTGGCACTGAAAGCTGTGTAATGATGAAGACCTCACCCACCTAAACTCTGACTCATAAACACCAGCGAATTGCTAGTTACAAGTCATCTGCATCAGAAGATGATGGGCTTCCTGATGGATCTGGGCAGTACAAGAAGTTGTGTACTTTTGTATACTGATTTCATTTCATTAAAGGCACTGTTTAGGGCAAGGTCTTGCAACACGGTATACACACAAGCTAGAAATATGAACCTGAAGCAGTTCTGAAGATGGCTTTGTTTGGTTTCCAGTTGTAAGCATTCCTCATTATTGACATTTCAACCTACAATCTGGACTAGGTGTTCTCATTCTGTTCTTCTCCAGAAGTTTTAGATTTCAACTGTCATCAGTTCCAGGCAGCATGGCCAACTGCCAGGGATGGTGGGAATTGTAGTCTTAAACATCTGGAGGGCACCAGGTTGGGAAATGCTGGTCTAGCCAAACTTAAAGAAATCCCAACATTTGGGCACATCTTAAAATAACCCAACAAATGAAGAAAGACCCCATTTTCAGTTACCTGTACAGGTGAGTCCATATTTCACAGCTACCTGGCAGCACCGCACAGGCATGCACCATGTAACATGGAGGCATAAGTGGGTGGCTTGCATCAACAGTGAATTACAGCACTCGCAATGCAAGAGGTATGGTCTCAGAGTGCTGGCACCCTGTGTGATAAATTCAGGTTCAAATCCTTACCATGCCATGAAACAGCCTAACAAGTCAATATGCCTCAGCCTAGCCACCTACCTGAAAGGGTCGTTGCAGGCACAACATGAGAGTCAATATACACTGCCCTGAGTTCCCTGCTCTCAACTTGTGCTGCTGTACGCAACAAGGGACTTACCTTTAAATTTGTTGCATACGGTATATATCTGCATTTTTTCTCCTTTCACCACTATTTTTCTCCTTTCTTGAGGAAATAAAATAATTAACATGTTGGTACCAATTCTGCTTTGACCCATTTCTAACTCATGCCACAAATGGCCACCACTATAACATGGAAGACCGGGGTTTTCGCCAACCTGGTGCCCTCCAGAAGTTTTGGACTTTATCCCCCAGCACCCCCAGTCAGAATGGCGAATGGTGAGGAATTCTGGGAGTCATGGTCCAACACCATTGTGGGTTTTAGGTCGAGGAAGGCTGTTGTAAAGGGGGACAGCAAGAAGCACTCTAATATGAAACCAGGAAGACTGCCTTAGTTCCATACTTCGTTCATCTTCAAACTATTGGCAAGGATGTGAGAAAACAATTCAATGTGAACGGTTAAAAATGTTCATCCTCAAACAGTCAGCACAGACTTCTAGAAGGTAAGAGGCATCCGCTCTCTCATGATAAAGCAACTGGAGGCAAGGGGGAGTACTGAGGCCCCGGTCAGGCCCTTGCTGCATTTGCCATGGGGATCCATGTTCGGAATAGCATCATCAGTCTGCCTTTGCAAGGGTAAGATTATCCAAATAAAGACATGGCCTATACTTCTAAATTTCCAAACCTTTTCATAGGTGTGCACTATTCATTATTGTTATTATTATGCTTCTTCAACTTTAGTGCCATATAAAAAGACAGATCAGTGACCTGACCTCTGCACCAACTGAAGTACTGCTGATCTGCAGGCTGAGTATTTTAGGTTCTAGGGGCTAACAGGTGTGCAGATGTTTGAACCCCTGCCATTATTTTACATACAATACTATGACTGGGTTTATATGACACACAAAGCCCCCATGGTCACATGAGGAAATGAGAGCAGAATACTAACTAAAATCACAGTGACAAAGCTCCAGTCAGTTGCTTACTGCTTAGGACGAACTAAGTGGGTGCAGTGGTAAAATGGATGGCAAATATGCTAAATTATTGAGAGCTAGTGTGGTGTAGTGGTTAAGATCACAAGCGCAAGGCTCAGATGATCTGTGTTCTAGTCCCTGCTTGGCCATGGAGCCAACTGGGTGACTCTGGGCCAGTCACAGACTCTTAGCCCAACCTACCTCACAGAGCTGTTGTTGTAGGGATACAACTGAGAGCAGGAGGAGGAGAATGTAAGCTGCACTGAGTTCTTTGTAAGAAAAAAGGCAGGATATAAATCTGATAAATGAATAGATTCACACTTTCTTAATTCTATATATGCTCGCTACAGTTGATTTAAGCAGAGCCAATAAATGGAGTCCAAAAAACCAGAGAAAATGAACAATGATTGCCCAATGAGAGGAACAACTTTTCCAACAAGGGGTCC